GCAGCCCTGTCTTGTTCCATTTGACATCCCAATAGGTTCTGTTCTTTCCCCATTTACTATAATAATTGCTGAGGACTCCCTATACAAGTTTCTTATCCATTCCCTCATTCTAACTCCAATCCCTAGGGCTTCTAATGTATTCATTATGAAGCCCCAATCAACTCTATCAAAGGCCTTTTCAGCATCTATCGAAAGCACTGCCACCAGTGTCTTTCCTTTTCTACTTTTCTGAATGAGCATCAGGGATCTCAACCCATTATCCCTCCCCTCCCTCCCCGGGACAAAGCCCACCTGATCCCCATGTATCTATTCGGGCATAAACTCTTTCAGCCTATTTGCTAAGACCTTTGCATATAACTTGGTATCTGAGTTCAATAATTAAATTGGTCTATAGCTAGAATGCTGAGAAGCATCTTTTTCTTCTTTAAGGAGCAATACCACATGAGCCTGTAGTGATTCTCTCCTCACATCCATCTCTCCTTCCTTCCAGAGAGTTCATATATCTCTCTAACTTGGGGGTTAATATTTCACTACATTTTTTATAGTACCTCACTGTGTAGCCGTCTGGACCTGGACTTTTCCCCGTCTCTGTGTTTTTTAATGCTGCTTTTATTTCTTCTAGTGTAATTTCTGCATCTAAAGATTTTAATTGTGCTTCTTTTAATTTGGGTAGGCCCGCATTTTTTAGATATAGGCTTCTTTTTTCCCTGTTTTCAGTTTCAGTATTACTTACAGTATCATAGGAACTGATGTTATACAACTTTCCATAATATTCCATAAACACTTTAGCAATCTCCTTATTTGAGTGAACTATTTCTCCCTTGGAGCTTTTTATTTTTTCAATATAATTCCTATTTTTCTTTTTCCCTAGGGTTCTCATTAAATATTTTCCTGGTCTATCTCCCCATCTATACCTCTCACTTAACACTTTATTATAGACTCTCCTTCTCTCCTCCTCCATTAAAGTCTCTAGTTCTTCTTTCTTTTTTGTTATTTTCTGCTTTATTTCTTTTACTATACTATTTTTGTGTATCTGTTCCAGGTCAAATATTTCTTTTAAGAGCCCGCTAATTTTCTCTCTCCTTTCTCTTTTCTTTCTTACCCCAATCGCGATCAAGATACCTCTTCTATATACCTTATGAGACTCCCACACTGTAGCTATCGACACCTCCTCAGTCTCATTCTCTTTGAAAAATCTCTCAATTTCTTCCCCAATCTTCTGGGCTGTATTTTTCTCCAGGAGAAGTGCCTCATTCAACCTCCAACCTATACCACCTGTCTTCCCCCTTCCCCATCCCATTTTCAACATAACTGGGGCATGATCCGAAAAAGACATTGCTCCTATTTCTACTTTAACCAAAAATTCAATGAGTCGATGGTCTACCAATATGTAATCCAACCTCGAATACATCTCATGTGCATTTGAGAAGAAAGTATAGTCTCTATCCTTCATATGCATAATTCTCCATGTATCCACTAATTGGAACAAATGGATCACTTTCTTTAGTAATCTCAGAGACCTACCCCCTCTCTCTGCACAGAAGAGGTTGCATCCCTTTGTGGGTCCATACAAAAATTAAAATCCCCAGCCACTATCAAACAACCCTTTCTAAAGTCCATCAATATTGTTAGCACACTTTTCAAGTATATCTCCGGCTTCCTGTTTGGGCAATACACACTAGCTACTGTACACTCCACCTCCTGCAATTTGCCTTTCAAAAACAGATATCTCCCCTCTGGGTCTACTTTTCTATCCTCCAGCTTAAACCTTATATTTTTTGCAAACCCTATTGCCACCCCTTTTGCTCTCCTAATCGGGGAATCTGCATAGTACCATGTTGGGTAATGTCTAGATTTTAACTTGACCTTTGATTCTATCTCAAAATGTGTCTCTTGCAAGAAAACCACTGATGATGCTCTATAATGTAGCTCTTTAAATAGCCTAAATCTTTTCCCAGGACAATTCAACCCATTTACATTATAAGTAATAACTTGTAACTTTTCCATCTTTCCTAAATCTCTCTTCTCCTCCTTCCCCCCTCCTCTTTTTTCCTTGCTCTAGTAACTCCCTCAATCCTGCAGAGTGTTAACCCTCATCCCCTTCCCCCCCCCCCCCCCACCCATCTCCCTCCCCCCCCCTCACCTTTTCCCACTTTTAGGCTTCTAATATGCCTATTAATTATTTGTGGACCTAATCTCCACTTTTGATTTAATACTCGGGGTTAAACTCCGCCCATGGGCAGCTCCTCCTTCCTCCCACCTCCCCCGCACCCTCTATCTATTCAATTGACTCACTAAAGTTCCACAAAACCCCTTAAAGAAGAACTCTGGAGACTCACTAAAAGGTAGTAAATCTATCCTATCTATATCACTTCCAATCCACGGACCTCTAGAAACAAATATCAAGAGGAAATACTATAAGAAAGGGGAGGGAGAAGAGTGGAAAGGAAGGGAGAAAAAAAAAAAAATCTTCCTCTCTTTCCACCTCCTCCCTCTACCTCCTCCCTCTAACAGACTGCCAGTCCTCTTGTCTTGTCTCTCCTATTTCTCTATCTTCTTCTTCCCATCCGGCAATCTCCATTCTTTGCAACTCAAGTCTTTCACAGAAGTCTCTCAAGTCCTCCGGAAATCTCAAATAAGCTGTTACTCCATTTTTCCAACCAATCAGGCATGCTGGAGTCCCCCATCTATAAGGCACGTTCTTTTTTCTCATCTGGTCTATCAAAGGTTTCAGCGTTCTCTTTCTCCACAAAGTCTCTGGTGTAAGATCTGCAAAAATCTGAATGTCCATTTCTCCATATTTAATTATTGTTTTCCCCTTGATCTTCCTCCAAGTCTATTCTTTATCCCCATACTTGTGGAATTGAACAATTACGTCTCTCAGTTTTTCCTTCCCGGCACTTTGATGGCGCTTTCCTATTCTCAAGACACCGTCCATTTTAATCAATTCTAATTCAGGTCTGTCCATTATGAAGTTTAAAATTTTACATATTAATTCTTGCAATGCTTCCCCTTTTGCAATCTCTGGTATTCCTCTCATCCTAAGATTGTTCCTCCTGTTCCTATTTTCTTGTACCTCTAATTTATACAACAATTTTTCCTGGGTTTTCCCCATATTCTTTATCTTCTTTTCTAGTTCAGAAATGTTTTGGGCCTGATATTTAATTTTCTCCTCTGCTACTTCCACTCTCATTAGCACCTGCCCCAAATCATTTCGGATAGTTGCCATTTCATTTTTATTGTTTTCTCTAAGTCCTTAAACATTTCTGCCATCTCTTTTTTATTCGGTACTTGTAATTCACTTTCAACTTCTCTCAACTCCATATTTCCTGTTATTTGTTGACTACTAACATTCAAGCCCATCGATAATCTAGGACTATTTTCCAGACTGATATCTCCTTCAACTTTTCCGTTTATACCTTGAAGCCTTTCTGGGGTCACATTTCCTTGAGACGTATATTTTTGTAATTGTACCTGCTTGGGACCCTTTAAGCCCACTTCCTTTAGTACTTTTATTCTTCATGTCTTCTGTGGGCCTTATTCTCCTCTATGTTCTCATATAATAATAGATTTTGCAAATATATGGTAGGGAACCAACTTTGCCTAACCAATTGTCCAGTTACTCTCCTTATTAGGTTGCTTAATCTTCTTCTTTTTACCACTGCTTCAAAGCCCCTGTGACTTCTGAAGGCAATTGGTTCCACTAGATTTTAGTTAGGGGTATCAGAGTAAAGGGGGCTGAATACAAATGCACACAACACTTTTCACATATTTATTTGTAAAAAATTTTGAAAACCATTTATCATTTTCCTTCCACTTCACAATTATGTGCCACTTTGTGTTGGTCTATCACAGGGGTGGGCAAACTTTTTGACTTGAGGGCCGCAATGGGTTCATATATTGGACCCGGGGGCCGGACCAAGAGTAGATGAATGATGTGTATGTGTGAATTAATATAAATTAAATTAAAATTTGTAACATTAAATGTTTAGATTAATTTAAGGTAGAAAAGCATAAAAAGAGTTATTTTACAAAACTTTTATGCACCCCACTAGCTGCTGGCCGGCCCAGCCACTACCATGCCATCCATAGTAAGTATAGTAATATTCCCCCATAGTAAGCATAGTAATTAATCCCCCATATAGTAATTCATCCCCCCTATAGTAATTCATTCCCCCTATAGTAATTCATTCCCCATATTAATTCATCCCTCATATAGTATTTCATCCCCCATAGTACTATTCCCCCCCAAGTAGTAAGCCAAGTCCCCCGTGTCAATTTACTTACCTTTGCTTTGCGCGTTCCTCTCGCCGTGTTCCCGCGCCGTTCCGGTCTTCAGGGCGGACTGTGAGAGGAGCCTAGCTCCCCTCACGTTCGTCACGCTGCCCCGCCTACACACATCCTGACAGCCAATGTTTGCCTGCCCTGGCTGTTTTTTTTTTTTATCACGCTCCGCGGGCCGGATTAAAAGGTCCGCCGGGCCATATACGGCCCGCGGGCCGTAGTTTGCCCATTGCTGGTCTATCACATAAAATCCCAATAAAATACATTGATGTTTTTGGTTGCAACATGACAAAATGTGGAACATTTCAAGGGGTATAAATATTTTTTCAAGTCACTGTAACTAGCTTTATTTCTCCAATGGCTGAATTCCCCTCACTACTATACTTTACTACACTACTCAGTACTGTAGTGATGTTTGGGTAAGTGAGAGGAACAACCAGTGTGAGGAAGACCAGAATTGTAGGTTTCTACAGTAAACTTCATCAGATGCAGCATAATTTAGTGATGTGAGCAGCAGAAAAGGTAAGTATCTACCTTTACAGGGTATTCTTTGTGGCTTTGTTATTATTACTGACAGAGTCATAATAAAAAGCAGGCTGGACACAAATATACACACCCTATAAGCTCTGGGATATACTAATAGAGATGTTTCAATACTTCCAATAATTTCTAAAATACATAGCAGATCTTTAGTGAGTTATTTAGAGTGAACTTACTGATATATTTCCAGTTGTGTTCAGGTCTTGACGCTGTGCCAGAAGTACTAACCTTTCTGTAGCATAAGAGACAGTATGCAACTGACATTTTTTCACCTGTAAATGGAAAAGGAAGACATTAAGGAAACAGTTAGCATTTCAACAGGTTTACTGATTCTCAGACTGTGCTATGTCCTCTCTAGCAGTGCAGGACTTTAAATGGAAAAAGAAAATGAAAAGAAAACTGGATTAAAAGAAATTTAAAAAAAGTCAGTGCATTAAAAGTAGAATTATAGTATATGTATTTTTTCTAATGCAAAAGGTTTCAAATTTGCAAATCAAAAATTGTGAATGCAGTCATACTTGCTAACTTGCTTTAACTTTTGCATTATCCATATTTCATATTATTGACAGGCCATCTTTCCAAGTCTCTTCCTTAGCATTAAAGCAGGGGTGTCAAACTGGCGGCCCTCCAGCTCTTGCAAAATTACAAGTCCCATTATGCCTCTACTGTCAGTCTTGCAATGCCTCATGGGACTTGTAGTTTGGCAACAACTGGAGAGCCGCCAGTTTGACACTCATGCATTAGGGAAAGGGAATGAAGGTGACACTAACATCTGAGAGAAGTCATGTAATTCTTGCTTCCTTGCTAGGAATCAGATGTGTAATAGGGTGGTTCTTTCCCTCTTTAAAGTGAAATTAAGCTCTCTCAATCAACATGAACTATTTTTAATCCTTATGCTTCTAGCATTAGTAATTAGATAAGATGTATTATATTTACATGTTTTAAACATTTTTTTTTTACATCTCTTCAATTGTTTGATGGTTTCTGGCCTAGGTCTAATTGTTATCATACATTCCATGAGTCTCCATGGACATTTATTTCTTTCATCTGAAGGAGGGATTGAGGGGCTGTTTGAAGCTAAGCACACCCTCCTGTCTGCAAGCCTTAACTAAGGGCAGCTGGATTCCAGGAAGTGAATGTTACATGAATCACCTGCCCTTACTCAAGATGGCCATGGCTAGCAATGCTAGGGCCTCAACATAATGAAGCACGGAGGCAAAGATGGATGGATGAGTTTGCTGTGAATGTTAAAAAATCAATTAAATTGCGTTTTCAGTTTGTGGTGCTCAGATACAGTGCGATTCTGCTTTAATCCTACTTCACTCCCCTATTCTTTTATCATCCATTTGTTACTTGTTTTACAAAATACAGCTGTCAATCAAATGAGCAAAAAGAGCACAGGGCAGAACTGGGAGGAACTACCATGCTCTGTGCAGTGATGGGCTCTGTCTTTTATGCAAATATAGATGCAAAATGTAATCTTAAGAGGGAGGTGGTAAGTTTATGACTTCTAGACTGATCAGCCAGCAGAGTTGAAACCAAAATCAGAGTCCTGGGTCCTGCACTATGCCTGCACAGCGGCTGGAGACCGTTTAGGAATGCCACAAAACACATAGGGTGACATTTTTCAATTCTATAACATTTAGGGGCAGTCAAAGGTTAACTGTGTGCCTAACAATCTGCAATGTGTGTAATATGTGCTACTTTTACTAATATTATTATACAGGATTTATATACAGTAACTCCAACAGTTTACACAGCGCTTTGCAAGGAGAAAAAACAGCCACATCGTTGTACAGAGCGCTGTGTTCTTAGTAAACTCAGGGCTTTGTGCTGTGGTTTGCTAAGTCGATCAGCATTCCCAGTCATAATTCATTGGCCAGGACCTGCTAACCAACTAGCACCAGATTGCCTGCCACACTACCACAGTCCCACTATAAGTCGCTCATCACCACCATTAACAGTATAGCGCTGACCTCCATGCGCTGAGCATGATATTCTCCTCAGTAGTTAGAATTGCTTAGTGTTGGGGGCAATGAAATAGTTGGGGTTCACATGTGTATTCCAGTTTGGGTATCTTAAATTTGTATTCACATTTATTACCCTGATTACTGCATTTTCTTTCATGATTGGGTAGGGTGGGTGGGGGGTTGGGTTTGAGGTTCTGTGAAACCTCCATCACTGTTTGGGAGTTGCGCTTGTGACTTTGTATTTGTGTTTGTTACCTATTACAATCAATAAACAAACTTAAAAAAAGTGGTTGTAAATCCTTATATATACCCAGTGAACTGACTGGCCTCAGGTGATACACAGAGATAAAACAAATCCTCCTACATAAGTTGTACCTGTACTGTGCTCTTCTCTTAAGCCGTTCAAAGTCCAGAATTTATAAAGCTTGTTGGAGCTGTCAGAACAAAGGGGACAGAGAGCTGAAATTACACACTGCAGAGCTCAGTGAGGAGAGCTCTGAGAGCTGATTGGAGGGAAGAGACATACTCCCCTCACACAGCACACAGGAACAGAGCTGAATATGTCAATCTGCTGGAGCTCCCTCCACTGTCACCTTTTTCTATTGGTGTGAGGAAAACTTGTCAGAAGTGATTCATGCTGATAGCAGAGGAACAAAGCAGCAGACCAAAATGACACTTAGGGGTTGATTTACTAAAACTGGAGAGTGCAACATCTGGTGCAGCTGTGCATGGTAGCCAATCAGCTTCTAACTTCAGCCTGTTCAATTAAGCTTTGACAGAAAAAAAACCTGGAAGTTAATTGGTTGCTATGCAGAGCTGTACCAGATTTTGAACTCTCCAGTTTTAGTAAATCAACCCCTTAGTGTTGTTAACTGAGACAAGTACACACTATAGAGGGATATGCTTTGTTCATATTTCATACCTGAGGTTTACAACCACTTTAAAGCTGAACTCTGGGTACAATAAAAAGTTACCCTTGCAGTGGGGTTTCATTTAAAGGACATGTAAACTCTAACAACGCATTTTGCATAATTGCACCTATTCTGTCTGGAAAATGTACCTTACCGTAAATCATGGTATACACATTGAGTTTGTTTTTTCATTCAGCCACCGGGTTGAACGAAAAAAAAAAAGCACCTAGAGATCCCTGCATCAACAAAAAGGATTTAGATACAGAGATTCTCTCCCGCTGGGTTATTATATTCCTGCTGAACCGGCAGATTTTTACATGTATACCCTGCTTTAGCAGCGTTTTATTATATTGGTTTAATAAATGGTCCTAATATACTCCCTGTCCTAGGGTGACAATGCTGCTCAGTAAAGTTGTCATCCTTGGACAGGAATTGAGTTAATGATAGGATCACCAAGTTGAAATAAAAGAAACAAAAAGTGTGATAAAAGAAATCTGATGCTGCCACAACATCTAAGGAGGTAAGCAGCAATAGTAGCATTTCTGTTTTTGGATTTAGATATACGTTAAGGTCCCCTGTACCTTATAGGTTGCCTACCACTGGTTTAGTGTTGTAGTCTTCATTCACTGCACAGAACATTTATTACATCATAACATCTTTGAAGAAATGTAGGGTTATGTATCATTAGTATAATTGAGGCAGCATCTATGTAATTTTGTGTATATTTTTTGTCGACATTAATTCTTTGTAAAACATAAACATTTTTTTTTTAAAACGGTAAAAAACAATATTTAGCATCATTACGCTAAGAATGCTATGTGTGTTTCTATTCAAAACATTACTATAAAGCATCAAGATCTTAGATCAGTACATTAGAAGATGTAAGCAATCATCACATAGCTCTACAATGAAAAAGAGAAAGAAATTATATATACAGATGTTTAAACCATCAAAGACAGTTTTATTTTCAAATGCTAATTACAAAATTCCACTGAAAATCCAGGCTAGGTAACAAAGTTTTTTATTTGATTAAATCCCACCTTGAAAGCTTTCGTTTATAGGTCACAATATCCTCCAGCGCCTAATGCATTTGAAATGAGATTTTTCTTGATTATGGCTGATATTTCTCCCGGGGTAATTTATTCTACTGTGTGAGGTGCAGAAATAAAAAGCGAATAACTGCACATCATGGGGCTGAATACAATGAGAGGGTTTTCCAAGACTGTGTATAAATTTTCCTTTCATGTAATTTAGGGAAGAGGAAAATGAAAGCAATTTCAGATGTAGGCAAGCGTATGTTAATATACTGAGTGTGAATTAGCATACATGAGTTTGGTCTAGCTCTCCTGTGTCTTTTTTTTTTTTTTTTTTTTCCTTTTGTTAAACTATGTTTATATTGAGGAGTATTAAAATACAGCAATGTTTTCCATGGGGTAAACACTTGTTGAATAATCACTGCTGTTGTCTTGGGTGCCGATTTACATCCAGCTGTTCATAGAATGGAGGCTGTGGTGTGTATTCTCTATTGCGTCAAAAAGCTATGTTGTGGTGTGAACATGGTGCACAGAAAAATTGTTTTCTATGTGTCCTACTGAGCTGTATTTATCTTGTGTGGAAATCGCTGCACAAGTGTGAACGATCCCTATTGCGCAATACGCATTTGTAAAGCACACCGCTGTGTGTTTTTTTTTTTTTTTCTCCTAAACAGCAGCTGCTTTTAAAATACATCAGTAGATCCTCGTTGTGTTTGGCCAGGCTGGTTGTGACAGATGTAGTTTCATTCAATATTTATTTAGGTAATTAAGGTTTACCTTTGTTAATCAATATGAGGCTTGCATTGGCATATTGATAGACTTTTCACCCTTCCATGTCATTTTTTTTGTCCCATTCATGGATGAATTTCCATTCATTTAAGGAAATACAGAACTACACTTTTTTTTGCCAAAAGTATTGTGACTCCTGCCTTTACATGCACATGAACTTTAATGGCATCCCAGTCTTAGTCCTTAGGGTTCAATATTGAGTTGGCCCGCCCTTTGCAGCTATAACAGCTTCAACTCTTCTGGGAAGGCTGCCCACAAGGTTTAGGAGTGTGTCTATGGGAATGTTTAACCATTTTTCCAGAAGTGCATTTGTGAGGTCAGACACTGATGTCGGATGACAAGGCCTGGCTCGTAGTCTCCGCTTTAATCCATCCCAAAGGTGTTCTATTGGGTTGAGGACAGGACAGGGCCATCCTCAAACTGTTCCCACAAAGTTGGGAGCATGAAATTGCCCAAACTGTCTCGGTATGCTGATGCCTTAACATCTCCCTTCATTGGAACGAAGGGGCAAAGCCCAACCCCAGAAAAACAACCCCACACCATAATCCCCCAACCGCCAAACCTTACACTTGACACAATGCAGTGAGGCAAGTACAGTTCTCCTGGGAACTGCCAAACCCAGACAAGTCCATCAGATTGCCAGACAGAGAAACATGATTCATCCCTCCAGAGAACACGTCTGCACTGCTCCAAAGTCCCGTGGCAGCGTGCTTTACACCACTGCATCTGATGATTTGCATTACACTTGGTGATGTAAGGCTTGGATGCAGCTGCTCAGCCATTGAAACCCATTCAATGAAGCGCTCTATGCACTGTTGTGCTAATCTGAAGGCTGCACAAAGGTCTTTAGCTATTGATTCTGGAGACAGTTGGCGACTTCTGCGCACTTTAGCATGTGCTGACCCTGCTCTGTCATTTTACGTGGCCTACCAATTCATGGCTGAGTTGCTGTTATTCCCAGTTGCTTCCACTTTGCTATAATGCCACTAACAGTTGACTGTGGAATATTTAGTAGTAAGGAAATTTCATGGATGGACTTATTGCACAGGTGGCAACCTATCACGGTACCACACTTCAATTCACTGAGCTCCTGAGAGCGACCCATTTTTTCACAAATGTTTGTAGAAGCAATCCGCATGCCTAGGTGCTTGATTTTATACACCTGTGGCCATGGAGGTGATTGAAACACCTGAATCCAATCATTTGGAGGGCTGTCCCAATACTTTTGGCAATATAGTGTATTTTTTGTTTTGTTGGGATCAGTAGGGTTTTGATTTAAGACTCCCGCATCTCAAAAAATATATGCTTCTGTGTTTCATTCTAAAGGGAATGCATTAAAATGATAGTTTAAGGAAAGTTATAGTGATGTGGGGTCAACATACCTCCACTTGCTTTTTTTTTTCAGCAATGAGATAATCAAAAGTAACTTTTTTGCTTTCTGCAGCCTACTAGACCTAAAAGAAGCACATAAAGTGGAAGTTTAGTTAAGATCTACGGCTAAAGCTACTACTACCCCCATTCTATCTAACCCTAGAAGGGAAAGATTTGTATACTTACCTATACTGAAGTCACTCCGGTCACACGATCTCACCAGTGGCTGCTTTTATGTAAAAGAGAGATCGCCGACAATGGCTGCAAATGCCTGGGAGATTACCTTAAGCATAGGCTTACTATGGGGCATCTATTGTCGGCCGTCTTTCTTCTGTACAGAAGCTGCCATGGGACAAGACCGGCATGGCTTCAGGATAGAGAAGTGTAGAATAGGCTTAGAAGGGGGTGGGAGTATGTTTAGCCTAAGGCTGGCCACACATCACACAATCAGGCAGGTCCTAACACTACATAGTTGAATGTAAATCTAAAGGAACTTGAACAAGAAATTTGTATAATGTAGGGCCAGCTTTAGATTTTGACTGAACTTCCACTTGAAACCTTGCAGTGAAGGATTATTACATTTTCTGGAGTTCAACTTTAACTAGATGTTTTGTATTATATCTTATTACCAGTTTTTAAAATGCCTTAAATTTTGGGGCACATCCAAAGCCATGGAATAAATCTGCTTCACTATTTCCATTAGGCTCCTTGAGAGTTAGAGAAGGACGTGAATGTACAATATATATATGTAAAGCACTGCGTAAATTGACGGTGCTATAGAACTACTTGAAATAAATAAATAAAAAGGAATGAGAAGTTTTCTGAATTTTTTTGTGTTCAGAAGTGTTAATGCATCTGTTTAATTGGGTAGGCTTTTGAATGTAATCAAACAAACTTTGTATTTGTATTGTATTCCAATGAATGCAATATAAGAAGTGCCTGGTTCTTAGGGAAATAAAGCAATAATAAGTATGGGGAAACTTGGGAATCTCTCATGTGCTCCATTCTCAGAAAGCACAACCATTAGGATGCCAATGAACTGCAGTTGCCAACCAGCCCTCCCCTATTTTCCAAATGCTGCCCTTTACGTTAGGTTCAAACCTATGCAGTTTACGTTTGATCCATTTCTGCAGTGCTTTTGGCAGTGCGTTTTCGCACGTGTTTTTGATGCATTTTTTTTTCTTGTTGCTAGGCAGTTTAAAACTCAAAACGTGGAAAAAATGCAGCAAACACACATTATGTGCTTTTCTGCAGTATTTCCATTGAAGTCTATAGACCAAAAACACAAGTTTTTGCATTTAAAAGTACCTGACACTTTCCAAAAAACACACCAGGTGAAAATGTGGAGATGTGAACTTGTCCCTTAGGAAACTGTGTTAATTGGACTGCTGTGCATTTCCGGAAAACGCATAGGTGTGAACCTAGACTTTTTTTGAATGGGTAGGTGTTAGATCATGGAGTACACTTCTTTAATACACCCACTTTAAAATGTGACATGGAGAGGCACACATTCACTAGCATAAGGCATTTTTTGTCAATATATTGACTACACATTTTGGACATTTAATAGTACCTTGGCTTATAAATGTGTCAGGATTTGCGATTTAAAAAAAAAAAAATGAAATTTTTTTGGCTTATTTCACACTTTTGAATTCTAATGTATCTTTTTTTTTTCTTGTTATCAATATACAATCTTTGTTTTACATTTGAAGATTAAATACATGAAAAAGGATTCCCCTAATAATATGATTAGGCTAAAAAACAGCACATCACACTCTTTGAGGTACAATGTTCAATACTTCTGACAGCCATCTGATAAGGCAATAATCATTGCTCTGATGATTCATCTGGCTGTGCTTAAAATGTAAAAGATGCTTAAAGCTCCACTTGCTGGTTCAAATGGAGAATGCAAAATTACATATTTCCCAGACTAAAAATATTTTAGCCCTGACCGTAATAAATGTACAACCGTACTAAATGTTCCCTTTAAGTAACTATATAAAAGGCAGGAATAGAGAAAGAGGTGCACTGATCTAAACTGTTTATCATAAGCATGCTTAAACATAATCTTTATAAAATGTTTCAGTTTAGGCTAGGTTCACACTGCTGTAATCCTATTTTGATCTGATTTTTAAGTAGTCTAAACATGGATGTGGTTTGCATATTCAGACAGGATCCAATTAATCTACCAGCAAGTCTTTGCAGTGTGGGAGGAAACCAGAGTACCCGGAGGAGACCCACGCAGGCACAGGAAAAACATGCAAACTCCAGGCAGGTGATGCCGTGGTTGGGATTCGAACCCATGACCCTAATACTGCCAGGCGGAAGTGCTAACCATTTAGCCATTGTGCTGCCACAGGAACCTTTGAAAATCGCACTGTGCTGAGTTGCAATGATATGAACGGGCACCATTGAAATCAAGGCAATTTTCATTGTAAATGCCATTCTGTGCGACTCAATTCACATCTAAAATTGCACTAGTGCTTTAACCTCTTGCCGACCGCGCATAGCCAAATGACGGCTTCACCGCGGCCGGCCAGTTCTGAGTGGACGTCATATGACGTCCTCCCAGAACGCGCTCTCCTGCGCGCCCCACTGGGCGCGCACCCGGCGATCTCCGTGATCACTGTGTCCTACGGACACAGCTGATCACGTGATGTGGTGAAAGGCCGATCCCACCGGCCTTTTACCACGTGATCAGCGGTGTCCAATGACACGCTGATCACAGGGAAATGCAAGTGCCGGTTCTCGGCTGCACTTTCCTCACGCTGTCAGATCGTGAGGAAAGTACTGCCGAGAACCGGCAGTTGTCAGAGCGGGGATCGGCACCGATCATCAGGGCACTGATGATCAGTGCCCTGATGATCGGTGCCCAGCAGTGACACCCGCAAGTTCTGCCCAGCAGTGCGCCCACTAGCCCCGCCCACCCGTTCCCAGCAGTGCCCCCACCTGTGCCCAGCAGTGCCCCCACCTGTGCCACTCTGCAGTGCCACCTACCTGTGCCCAGAAGTGTGCCACCTACCTGTGCCCAGAAGTGCCACCCACCTGTGCCCACCAGTGCCACCCACCTGTGCCCACCCACCAGTGCCACCCACCAGTGCAGCCCAGCAGTGCTGCCAGTCAGTGCCACCAGTCAGTGCCCAGGGGTTGTGCCAGTCAGTGCCGCCAGTCAGTGCCCAGAAGTGATGCCAGTCAGTGCCGTCTATCAGTACCCATCATCAGTGTCACCTATCAGTGCCGCCTATCAGTGCTGCATATCAGTGCCGCCTATCCGTGACCCCTAATTAGTGCTGTCTATCAGTGCCGCCTATCCGTGCCACCTCATTAGTACTGCCTATCAGTGCCCTTTAGTGCTGCCTATCAGTGCCCATCAGTGCCGCCTATCAGTGCCCATCAGTGCCGCCACATCAACGCAAATCAGTGAAGGAGAAAAAATACCTGTTTGAAAAATTTTATAAAAGAACAAATAAAAACTTTTTTTTTTTTTTCAAATTTTTTGCACTTTTTTTAATTTATAGCGCAAAAAGTAAAGCGCCCAGTGGCGATTAAATACCACCAAAAGAAAGCTCTATTTGTGAGAAACAAATGATCAAAATTTCATATGGGTACAATGTTGCATGACCGCGCAATTGTCAATCAAAGTGCGGCAGCGCTGAAAGCTGAAAATTGGCCTGGTAAGGAAGGGGGTATAAGTGCCTGGTAGGCAAGTGGTTAAATCTTTTCTGATGATAGAAATCCCAACCCCCAAATTGCAACAGAGCAAAATAAGGTCCCCTGCTCTGCCAGACAGGGCTGTGTAAATCTCAGAACTGTATACAAAAATAAAAATCATTTGACAGGTAAAACTCCCTTATATGTGTTTCACCTGTGTATTTAGCATTTTGCTTGGAGTTCAGCTTTAAGCCTCAGTGTCACATGCTTGTTAGAAAGGTATTTGCCCTAACAGAATAACATTCATATAACCATATATAATGGTTTTAAGTACCTATACAACAGATCATGAAAGTAAAAGGTTTCTCTGCTTTTCCAAATGAGACCTTTGAAGTCAGAGCAGCCTCAGAAGCAGCGCATGAACTTAGAGGTTCTCATATTTTAATGCAGTGCTAATGTATTTACATAGATGCTAAACAGAGGAACTCAAGTCAACTTGTTTTTAACTGAAATTAGGGTCCCGTCCACCTTATAGCAGAAGTACTGCTACAGGGTGGCACGGATGCACACAATCAATCACACACACATACATATATATATATATATATATATACACACATATACACACACATATATACACACACACATACACACAGTTGTGTTCAAAATAATAGCAGTGTGTTGAAAAAAGTGAATAAAGCTCAAAATCTTTTTAATAGCTTTTATTTCCATACACACAAATGCATTGGGAACACTACACATTCTATTCCAAATCAAAACATGAAGAAAAATATCAAATTTGTGTTGTTCCTCTAAAAAAATTGAAAAAAAGTGAATATTAGACTGTTCAAAAAAATAGCAGTGTTTGTATTCTTCTTTACAAACTCAAACATTCACTATATAAACTGAAAAATGTTTGAAGATTTTGCTTTCCTTTGAATCACTTAATGAATATTTGGTTGTATAACCACTGTTTCTGAGAACTGCTGTACATCTGTGTTGCATGGAATCAACCAACTTCTGGCACCTGTGAACAGGTATTCCAGCCCAGGATGATTGGACTACATTCCACAGTTCTTCTCCATTTCTTGGTTTTGCCTCAGAAACTGCATTTTTGATGTCACCCCACAAGTTTTCTATTGGATTAAGATCCGGGGATTGGGCTGGCCACTCCATAACGTCAATCTTGTTGGTCTGGAACCAAGATGTTGCACGTTTACTGGTGTGTTTGGGGTCGTTGTCTTGTTGGAACACCCATTTGGAGGGCATTTCCTCTTCAGCATAAGGCAGCATGACCTCTTCAAGTATTCTGATGTATTCAAACTGATCCATGATCCCTGGTATGCGATAAATAGGCCCAACACCGTAGTATGAGAAACATCCCCATATCATGATGCTTGCGCAACCATGCTTCACTGTCTTCACAGTGTACTGTGGCTTGAATTCAGTGTTTGGGGGTCGTCTGACAAACTGTCTCCGGCCACTAGACCCAAAAAAAACAACAATCTTACTTTCATCAGTCCACAAAATGTTGCGCCATTTCTCTTTAGGCCAGTCAATGTGCTCTTTGGCAAATTGTAACCTCTTCAGCACGTCTTTTTTTTCAACAATGGGACTTTGCGGGGACTTCTTGCAGATAGTTTGGCTTCACATAGGCGTTTCTAATTGTAACAGTACTCACAGGTAACTTTATACCTTCTTTGATCTTCCTGGAGCTGATTATTGGCTGAGTCCTTGCCATTTTGGCTATTCTTCTATCCATTCGAATGGTAGTTTTTCGCTTTCTTCCATGTCTTTCAGGTTTTGGTTGCCATTTTAAAGCATTTGCGATTTTAGCTGGGCAGCCTATCATTTTCTGCACTTCTTTATATGTTTTCCCCTCTCCAATCAACTTTTTAATCAAGGTACGCTGTTCTTCTGAACAATGTCTGGAACGACCCATTTTCCTCAGAATTTCAGGGAGAAATGCACTGTAACAGCATGTACAACATTTGCTGCCTTTCTTCCTTAAATAAGGGCAATAATTGCCACCTGTTTTTCAAAGAATGAATGACCTCACTAATAGAACTCCACACTGCTATTATTTTGAACTAGCCCCTTTCAATTAGTGATTCAATTACACAGAATCAGCAGCATGCATGTCATGACTGTTGGGTCTGTTGGATTTCTATTATTCTACTACACCTGCCAGTAAATTATTTGCCATGTAAAAATATAATTTCTACCAAAAAGAGTGATCAGGTTAGTGATGTGTGACTGCTAATATTTTGAACACAACTGTATATATGTATGTGTATATATATATATATATATATATATATATATATATATATATATATATATGATTTTGCAGTTTTGGGAAGGGGGCACGTGCCTTACCCACGCCGCCATTCGTGGCCTTATCTGTCAATCACCAGATGCCAGCAGGTAATTACTTGCGGACGCCCGATGATTGAAGAGCATCTCCGATGGAGAGAGAGAGAACTGTAAGTAAACAATACAGTTCTCTTTACTGTCAGCTCCTGAACCCTGCTTTGCATGGCTGTGCATAGCACAGCCATGCAAAGCAGTGAGCTTACAGTGAAGCACTAACACAGGACGCAATGTAAAAAACGGCAAACAGTTAACCCTTTGATCGCCCCACATGTTAACCCTTTCCTGTCCAGTACTATTAGTACAGTGTCAGTGCCTTTTATTAGCACTGATCACCGTACTGGTGTCATTGGGGATGTTAGTGACACCAAGTCAGTGTCAGATTCCCCTCCGCAGTCCTGTTATAAGTCGCTGATCGCCGCCATTACTAGTAAAAAAAAAAAAAAAAAAAATCCCAGTATATATATACCACCATTTGTAAATGCTATAACTTTCACGTAATCCAATTAATTTACATGTATTTGGATTTCTTTAAGCAAAGACTTGTAGCAGAATACATTTTAACCTAAAATTATGATATTTGTTTTTAAATTTTTTTTACTGGGCATGTTTAATAGCAAAAAGTCAAACATATTGTTTTTTTCTCAAAATTGTCGGTCTCTTTTTTAATAGTGCAAAAAATAAAAACTGCAGAGGTGATCAAATACCACTGAAGGAAAGCTCTATTCAAGGTGGGAAAAAAAGATGTAAATTTAATTTGGGTGCAGCTTTGCATGACTGCGCAATTATCAATTAAAGTAATGCAGCACCGTAATGCAAAAAAATGGCCTGGTCTGGAAGGGGAGTAAATCCTCTGGATGGCAAGTGGTTAAAGAGGTTCTCTTAAAAAACACATATAGTAGACAGCATGAGTTAGGGTAATATTTCTGCTTCTATTGTCTTAGGAGGGACTCAAAAGTAAAGTGGGCATTTTATGAACAAAACAGTTAAAGTGTTACCAAACCCACAACTGTAAAATCCATCTGTATATGCAGTAAAACATGCTTGTTATACTCACTGTGGAAGCTAAGGGGTTAATAATCTGCATTGTTTAAAAAGGCTGTTTGATCCGGTCTTCTCTGATGCTCCCTTTCGTTTGCTGTCCCCAATCAATCTGCCATGGGCAGTGCATGTGATCAGCACAGGGCCAACCGATGCTGTCCAGACAGAGGGTAAGGGGTTATGCAGCCTCATGGGACAGTCTGAGGAGAATGAAAACTCCTACAAGATTACAAGTGCTTGTCTGGACACTGATAGAAGTCACAAAACTGCTCTAACTGCTGATGAGAAAAGGTATTTAGCAGTTTATATATACTAAAATTGCATTTCCATGTTCTGTGTACTGCGGAAGACCGGATATAGCGAATACAGGGTCCTGGGTTTAGAAACACTTTAAATCAGTTTTAGAACATGTTAGCTATTGGCACACCAAAAGGAAAACAAATCTAATCTAATCTGCAAATACAGTCATGCTATACACCAGTGCTCGACAAATCCCGAGCGCCAGGTCCTCATTGCAACTAGAAAATATGGCCTGGCGCCCAGGCTTTTGTCAGCCCCAGTGGTGTAGCATTGGGGAGCGCAGCCAGGCACAACATTGCTGGGCTGCCTTCTGGTGTAACTGCCTCGTGTGTGATGGCGGGGGGGTAGGGAGGAGCGGCGCTGTGAGGGCAGGTTGAAGGAGGAGAGTGGTGGGAATGTGAAGGGTGAGTTAGGGGAGATGCGGGGCTGTACATTAGTAGGAGGGGCAAGTCAGAGGAGGAGTAGAGCTGGCAGGAAAAGTCCCCTGTGTGGCTCTTAGTGATACCTGCCGCTCCGGGGAGACAGCCTCACCTCAGAACAGAAACTGACGCCGCAGCCGCTCCGGTTCCCAACCTGGACAGGCTCAGAGTGCAGCTCAGAGCCGGGTCTGGGCAGCCCAGGAGCCCACTACCCTTGTGACAGCCACTATGGCCACCTATCAGTGTCCCATCAGTGCCACCTCATCGGTGGACCCATCAGTGCAGAATAATTACTAAATTTGAAAAAAAAAGTTGGGTCTTTTTTAATTTTCAGTCTTTTCTTTGTGTATTTAGTAACAAATAAAAACCCCAGTGGTGATTAAATCTGACTAAAAGAAAAGCTCTATGTCTCTCAAAAAAAAAAAAAAAAAAAAGGCCTGAGCAGGAAGGGGGCGAAAGTAACCAGTAGGCAAGTGGTTAAAAAAAAACTGGCTCCTAACTTTTTTAGCTGGCTCCTAGATTCAAAGCAAATTTGTCAAGCCCTGCTATACACTACAATTCTACATCTACAAATGCACAATAAATTACAATTACAAGATGAAGAAACCCTTGATAAATAAAAGTTTTCACTGCATATAACATAGGTTTACTTACTTTCCTCCAAAGTACCTATAGACATTAAAAGGTGTTTACATCTACCAAGCACAATTTATGCACCAAATTAAAAAATTATAATTGGAAAAGCTTACAATTAACATTCATGCACTGTGCATACATGAATGACATTGGGCTGAAGAAAAAAAAAAAAAATATGGAGAAAGACTAAAAGTACAATCCAACTGAGTAGTCAGGCTGGGTGATCATCACATTGGTACCTATAAACACACTGCTAAAATCCGCAAAAGGTCCCCAAAGGGTTTCCTTTCAGAAACCACCATCCATATGCATCCCAATATTTCACTTCCATCCAAAGAACATGTTACACCTTCACTTTATACCATGTTACAGTGAAGAAGGGCCAAATGTTGTCCAGATATAAAATAAAAGCATCACATATAGGTTTTAACAGTTTATTAGCAGCTTACAACTGTTTAAATAGGAAAAAAAGAAATAATTTAGATCTATGGAAATACTTTACTGTAAAGAAACAATTTCACTCTCTACATACAGAGAATAGATGGAAGCAAACACAAACATTTTATTATACACACAAATTATCAAATTCAATTGTGTTCTTAAATACATTTTACAGTGTCAGCCATTTTTTAGAAAGTTATTGATTTTACTTCTGTGTGATGGGAAAGGAGTTCTGGTCCATCAATTCTCCAACCTTCTCTTGAAGGACACTGACAAATTCAGCTAAAATAAACACATGTGTGTCATCCAGGTCCTGGATAATGAACTTGGATCCTAAAGCGTTGGTTTCGTCCAAGTATAAGAGAAACTGTTTCATTGCTGGGTCACTGCGGAAGGAAAATATAATGAGAATTTGTTACGATAACCAGTAACAAGATTTCATATCAGGCTTTTTCACCCAAATCTTGACTTTTTAATAAAAAATATTTTTTCCCGGTCACGTTCCAGAAAACATATACAGTAGTGTAATGTCATAATGTAACTGTACCATTATTTATAAAAGCAGAAATAAAGATCACAAATACTTTCACTCCAGCAATGTGATGTGTGTAAGCTCCCTTGTAGGTGCCGACATCTTCTACCTGGCTTCATCCTGGTGCAGGGATTTTGACTACCAAACTTCATTAATCCCAGCATGAAGGTGTGCTGAGAATGTAAACGGAGCTGCAGATTTGCATCCCAGTGCACACATTCTAGAGGACTGCGGACAGGCAGGTTTCTTTGTTGCATTGCTGAACAGACATAGCGGGTATATTTACCAAAACTGGTGCACACAGGATCAGGTACAACTGTGCATAGTAACCAATGCTTCTAACTTCAGCTTGTTCAATTAAAGTGGTGTAAACACTCTCATACACCCAGTGTAGCATCAGATGATACACAGAGATGAAACAAATCCCCCTACATAAGTTTTACTTGTTTAACTGCAGTCTCTTCACTACATCCATTCAAAAGGGCTGAAATGTGAGGAAATCCTTCTTAATTTGTCAGTATCACAGAGGAGGGGGTGGAGAGCTGCAGTAAGAGAATGTGTACACTGTGTGAGAGCTGAATGGAGGAAAAAGGACACACTCCACACACAGGAACAAAAGAACTCGCAGAGATGAGTTGCAAGTAGATAAGCTGTGTGCTGAACTCCCTTCCCATCACAATTTTATCTCATGTGCCTAGAAAACGTCTCTGAAGTGACACATGCTGATAACGGATGAACAAAGCACCAGAGAGAAAACGGCATGTTGAACTTTTGTGAGAGACAAGTAAACACTACAGATATATTTGCTTTGTTTAGATTTCATGACTGAGTGGTTTACAACCACTTTAAGCTTTGACAATAAAACCTGGAAGCAGATTGGTTATTATACACAACTGCACCAAATAGAGTGTGCACCAGTTTTAGTAAATCTCCCCTAGCATGTCTTTTCTCTAATAAAGAGTCGGTCTGCTCACAATTTTATTTTATTTTTTACCTTAGCTGTTTATCTTAGTTTTATTTTAATTTGATTCTGCACTCCTGTGACCCGTTTTCAGCCAATAGTGGTCTCGACTTTTGCTTCCTGCCCAGCTAATAATAATATTATATTATGACAGCTGAGTGGGAGCACTGCCATCCTGGGTGGACTTCATATGACATCTTCCCAGAATCAAACCGCATTGCGCACAATTGTAAATCAGATGGCACATCAGTGTGCTAGGTCGCTGCCAGTACCATATGATTGCTGTGACCAATCACAGCAAATGACATGCCAATTGTAAACAATAAAAGGGTTCCATTCATTTAGCACTATTGTGTTGATCTCTGAGATTGGTCACAATGATCACATGGTACAGACAGGGCCAATCGCAGCTTCACAATATTACACAATGGATGTCATTCATACAAAATGGTTGCTTATAAAAGTGATTATTACAGTGTGAAAAAAAAAAAAAAATCCTGATCACCCTTCCAGAGCAGTCAGTGCCATTCAGTGGTAACACTGTATGGCTCTGGTCACAATATAATAAAAAAAATTAAACTGTTACAAAAGCAAAAAAAAAAAAAAAAAAAAAAAACTTTTTTCTCTTCTTTTTGTACATACTGTCACCAGTGTCCCAGTCACTGCCACACCAGTTACAGTAATGTGACAGCAAGTTAAAAAATAAATTTTATATATGGGAAAAATGTCAGCATTTTCCAAAGAATTGTGTCAAAAAAATGGCAACTTCAAAAAAACTCACTAGACTAAGTTTGCTACTTTCCAAAAGGGGTCACTTTGGAGATATTTGTACTGTCCTGCCAATTTCTGGCCTCACAAAATGAGACAGGCCGTCGGTACTTTCAGATATATACCATTATATATAGATTATATTTACCAAAGAAGTGTAGCAGTATACAGTGGGGCAAAAAAGTATTTAGTCAGCCACCAATTGTGCAAGTTCTCCCACTTAAAAAGATGAGAGAGGCCTGTAATTGGCATCATAGGTAGACCTCAACTACGAGAGACAAAAGGAGAAAAAAAATCCAGACAATCACATTGGCTGATTTGGAAAGAATTTATTTGCAGATTATGGTGGAAAATAAGTAAGTATTTGGTCAATATCAAAAGTTCATCTCAATACTTTGCTATATATCCTTTTTTGGCAATGACAGAGGTCAAACGTTTCCTGTAAGTCTTCACAAGGTTGGCACACACTGTTGCTGGTATGTTGGCCCATTCCTCCATGCAGATCTCCTCTAGAGCAGTGAAAAAACGGACTTTCAACACCCTCCAAAGGTTTTCTATGGGGTTGAGGTCTGGAGACTGGCTAGGCCACTCCAGGACCTTGAAATGCTTCTTACGAAGCCACTCTTTCGTTGCCCAGGTGGTATGTTTGGGATCATTGTCATGTTGGAAGACCCAGCCACGTTTCATCTTCAATGCCCTTGCTGATGGAAGGAGGTTTGCACTCAAAATCTCACGATACATGGCCCCATTCATTCTGTCCTGTACATGGATCAGTCGTCCTGGTCCCTTTGCGGAGAAACAGCCCCAAAGCATGATGTTGCCACCCCCATGCTTCACAGTAGGTATGGTGTTCTTTGGATGCAACTCAGCATTCTCTCTCCTCCAAACACGAAAGTTGTGTTTCTACCAAACAGTTCTATTTTGGTTTCATCTGACCATATGACATTCTCCCAATCCTCTTCTGGATCATCCAAATGCTCTCTAGCAAACTTCAGACGGGCCCGGACATGTACTGGCTTAAGCAGGGGGACACGTCTGGCACTGCAGGATCTGAGTCCCTGACGGTGTAGTGTGTTACTGATGGTAGCCTTTGTTATGTTGGTCCCAGCTCTCTGCAGGTCATTTACTAGGTCCCCCCGTGTGGTCCTGGGATTTTTGCTCACCGTTCTTGTGATCATTTTGACCCCACGGGGTGAGATCTTGCGTGGAGCCCCAGATCGAGGGAGATTATCAGTGGTCTTGTATGTCTTCCATTTTCTAATTATTGCTCCCACAGTTGATTTGTTCACACCAAGCTGCTTGCCTATTGCAGATTCAGTCTTCCCAGCCTGGTGCAGGTCTACAATTTTGTTTCTGGTGTCCTTCGACAGCTCTTTGGTCTTCACCATAGTGGAGTTTGGAGTGTGACTGTTTGAGGTTGTGGACAGGTGTCTTTTATACTGATAACAAGTTCAAACAGGTTCCATTGATACAGGTAATGAGTGCAGGACAGAGGAGCCTCTTAAAGAAGAAGGTACAGGTCTGTGAGAGCCAGAAATCTTGCATGTTTGTAGGTGACCAAATACTTATTTTCCACCATAATTTGCAAATAAATTCTTTCCAAATCAGCCAATGTGATTGTCTGGATTTTTTTTCTCATTTTGTCTCTCATAGTTGAGGTCTACCTATGATGCCAATTACAGCCCTCTCTCATCTTTTTAAGTGGGAGAACTTGCACAATTGGTGGCTGACTAAATACTTTTTTGCCCCTCTGTACATTTTGGCCTAAATTTATGAAGGAAGAACTCTTCTTTTTTTTCAAAATGTTTGATCTTTTTTCACTTATTAGAAGAAAAAAAACCCCCAAAAAACAGTGATAATTAAATACCACCAAAAGAAAGCTCCATTTGCTTGGAAAAAATGCTAAAGTGTTGCATGAGTAATTGCAATCCAAAATGCAACAGTGCTGAAAGCTGAAAATTAACCTAGGCAGGAAGGGGGATGAAAGTGTCGGTATTGAGGTTATTAAAGTTGTTAAAGTCCACCCATATGTCTGGATCGGCAGCTGGCCCAGCCTCTAAGCGACCCACTGGGAGACCTAGCAAGTCAGGCCCACCCCTCCACAGTCCGATGCTCCAGTGAGAGCTGGAAGGGTAGAGCAAGCAGTGAACTGCTGACCGACAGTCACCGGCTCTTTGCTCACTGAAGACTGAGAACAGAGCAATCAGCGGTCTTATTGATTGCTCAGTTCTTTGTGTTAGAGGTGGCGGGGGGACAGACGCAGGATCAATACTGGACACTTTCATCCCCTTCTTGCCCAGGCCAATTTTTCAAGCTTTCAGTGCTGTCACACTTTGGTGAGTATGATTGTTTATTTTTTTATTCAATTCCTGACCTTCTTTTCATTATGACCCATAATTATTTGATGGTCTAGGGTGAGAAAGATCTAAGAAAAAAAAGTAAAGCAGAATTTCAAGGAACATCATATAATCTACCTCAAATAATGAGTATCCTATGCTCACATGGCTGCTGTTTACTGTACAAAATCCTATTTTTACTGGCGCCAGATATTTACAGTGCTCTTCTTCCAGCACTGCAACATAACTTTGTCTCTCATACAGTAAAGGATCCTGTTGTTTACCCTCCTTCCTCTCCGATCATCCAATCACAGAATGTTATGTAAAAGAATACAAGGTTTTTTATGAATATACAAGGGGAAAGGAAGGTGAGCATGAATGACAGCCATCTGAACATAGGATACTCATCATTAGAGGTAAAGGTGTCTAATGGACCAAAAGTTGAGAGGTGTGTGCGCTAAATAGTTGAGTGCACATTTAACATAGGGAGCGCAACAGCTTTCCTGCAGTGACATTGGGTCAGTGCAGGGAAACACGACAAAACAACTGTGAGTGAATAAGCCCTAAGGCCCATACCTCCCAAGCACTGCCGAAGGCACAGAAACAGAGAAACCCATATAACTAACAGTAAACAACACTGTGGAGGAGAACAGGTCTCCCCAGCCACTGGTATTGTGGCATTCTTCCAGTAGAAAAATACTGGATAATTTGAAAGTATTGCGCTTGTAAATCAAAAGGCTCTCTTTTTTGCCCTCTGGAAAAAACAATAATTGGGTGTT